CAGGGCACCAATGGCTTGATTCCAGTGACTGACTGACACAAGGATGTAAATGCCGAGCCCTTAGCCCTCATTCAGGACAAGTGTGAAGGGCCAGCCCAGCTCCAGGGGTCCCTGCGATGGGCTGGAGCTTTCTAGGCCATTGGAATGCGATCAACTTCTCCCCTGCCCAGTCCTGCTTCCTTCACTCCCCTGAAGCTATTGATCCCAGAACCCGCCTGCATACAAATCTGCCTCCGAGTCTGCTGCCCAGGGAAATGACTTATGACACTTGCTCAAAGTCAAAAAAGCTAATGAGAGATCAAAATGGGATTTACTACAGATGTGCCAGCATAATTCCACAATTACACACCGAGCAGAGGACACCAAATGGAAGAATGAACCAAGAGCCCTGTAAGGTAACATTATCAATAATACCCAAAGTAGTCTAAAAACGCCTTATTTTGTGGATCCAAATACAAATGAAGAATCTCTACTAAAGTTGGGCTGATATAAACATCCATCCCTACGTGGAGAAGAAAATGGCAGGTTACGAAGGTGAATTTCCTGGGATGCTTTCTATTCCACTTCAGAAGCAAAGACTAAATGGACAAAAAGGGGCCGTAGAAAAAGAATAGTTCTAGTTTTTTATTTTATATAAGAGGAAACTGCGACCCAAGGGTACAAGGGAATAGAGTGGTCTAGTCTAGGCCTCATAATTACCCAAGTCCTTCAGCTTGGTCTTCAATATATGATTTTGACATTTTATGTAAAGTGTTAACACCCACAATAGATTCATATATATTCAAATCTAAGTATAAAATGTATTATGAAACTAAATATGACTTTTGAATTAAATGTCGGCATCACTCTTCCCTCCCATCAGTGTGGTAACTGAGATTTTACTGGGTTAAGAGTTTTCACAGAATGGCTTATGAGGAAGGCTAGACTTTACTGCTATACTTCTAACTACATTAGCAATTAAAGTTAATCAAATATTGTATCTTAATTGCCTGATCTCAAAATGAGGATAATAATGATTATCTCATTCAATAGGATGCCATAAAGATTTAATATTTAATGGTACCAATACGTTCTAAACGCCATATAAGCAAATAACATGGCAGTGCATATAGCAACTTTCAGCAGTTAACATTATAACTGGTTAATTGTACACATAACTGATTGAAAAGAGCCTAAGTAAGACAGAGCATTTTGATATCTGTTTCTAACCAGGAGAACAAGATTTAAACTGGTAACTATAAATTTAATAAAGCACCCCAATTCAAATAAGAAAGGTCTTGAAAATCCTGGTGGTAGGCAATTTACCACCAAGGGATCTAAAATCTTTGATAAAAAAAAAAAACAGGGTAATGAATGAAAGTTAAAAGCAAACTTATGATAACCTTTATAATATAAGTATTAAAAGTAAGGCAACCATAATAAATAAGGAAAATATTAAGAACATTTTACACATTTAAACTGATCCTAATAGGTACTAACTATATAATTCATTTTCTATATATTTCTTGTTTGCTAGAAACCTCTCAGAATCTCTGTCTTCTGGTTCAATAAAATAATCATAAATATAAATTTCTAAGAAGAATTACCTTCTGCCCCTCCCTCAGCTAGTCTTTTACCCAAAATGTTCAAAGAACAAACTTGCTTCTAAAACACTTAAATATTGAAAATGCTTGGGCGTATCTTATTTACCTTGCTTGGGAAAGCTGGGGGGTACCACGCCAAAGCCCTCCCCACAGTCCAACTCAGCCCAGGGTTTCCCTTGTGTCAGAAACAGGCGTTAGGACCCCTTTACATGTAGTTCAGCTCCCTTATACCAAATCAAAAGAGCAGTACTAAGACCATTTCATTATTTTATCAATTCCCAAGGTTTCTTTGAAAAATCTCTATGTTTACTCTGCCATAGCATTTTATTAATTCCTCCTCTTTTCCTAACCTGATTCTTCTTTTTCTAGCAGTTATAATTTGCAGATAAAATTATTACAGTTAAAAGAAAAGACATACAGAAGCAAGTACATGAATATCAGAATTTCATATAAAGATGAATTGTGGTTAGAAAAGGGATGATAACAATACTGGTCTAGGTAACTAAGACAATGTGGTACAAACTAATCTGCCTAGCAACTGGCCAATGGCTTGGGTGGAATCAATCATCCAATTCATTAAATTATGATATTCCTATATTTATACCCAGGTACTTATACTGAGCTATGGGAAAACTCCAGAGAAAAGCATTTATGTTCACTTTCCTTGCAGGAAAATATAGGACACCACTGAGAATTTATACAAAACACATTGGACTAAATCAGTGGTCTTCAAAATAAGTAACCCCCTTCAAATGGGAATATTTTAAGACTTTTCAGGAAAGCACAAATAGTTTTAAGACACAGTTAATATAAGAATTAATTTCTGGATGCTAAATAAGCATATAACCACCTTCCCTAAAAATGTGAGAGTAGCCCTGGCCGGTTTGGCTCAGCGGTTAGAGCATCGGCTTGCGGTCTGGAGAGACCCGGGTTCGGTTCCCGCTAAGGGCACGTACCTCAGTTGCAGTTTGTCCCTGGCCCTGGTTGGTCGTGCGGGTGGCAGCCACTCGATGTGTTCCTTTCACATCAATATTTCTCTCTCTCTCTGTTCCTCTCTCTCCCTCCCACTCTACCTGAACAAAAAATGGAAAAATGTCCTCGTGTGAGGATAAAAAAAAAAATGTGAGAGTAGAAATTATCTCTCTTCAAGGAAAATAATCAGATGTAAGATTTCTGACTTTTAAAGAAAAGTTGCCATGTATTTTTTTTAATGGATGATAATGGATATCAAATGGTTATGGTAAATATTCTATTGAGTATATTAAAAAGAACAACAATAGTTTCATTTTAAATGTCAATATTCACAGTATCCCCCACATTCTATCTTTTGCAAATATTTAAACTTATTATTAATAAGTTTTACTGTCAATATAATAATGTGCAAGGGATTAGAGACTTGTTGATACTCATAGAGAGATGGTGAGCAAAAAAGTTTGAAAGTGCCTGGCCAGTATGGCTCAGTGGTTGAGCGTTGACCCATGCACCAAGAGGTCACTGGTTTGATTCCCGGTCAGGGCCAAATCCCCAGTGGGGGGCATGCAGGAGGCAGCCAATTGATGTTCTCTCTCATTGATGTTTCTATCTCTCTCTCCTTCTCCCTTCCTCTCTCTTTAAAAATCAATAAAGAAAAAAACAAAATAGTCACACACACACACACACACACACAAAAAGTTTGAAAGCCACCAGACTAAATAAACATCTCAAGGTTTTATTAACCTCTCATATTCTAATGTCAAGATTAAACAAAGAACTAGATGTGCAAGTCCTAGACTGTCTGGGGTGACATGAAGAGGTGGGCCTAACTGAAGAGCCCTCTGCAGAGTGGGTGAGATTTGAGCAGGGTTTTATGAATGCAAAGCAGGGGACTTGCACAAGTTGGGAGAACTTCGAGTCTAGAGCTGAGAGGTAGGAGCCGGGGCACGTCGGCCTTTGCGGGAGAGGGAAGGTGGATGGGTCCGGGAGGAAAATGGAAAGGGCATGGGTTTTCAGGTCACAAGCAACTTGAGTTCAAATTCAAGTTCTACCACTTTTTGGCTGAGCCACTTTGGAGAAGTCGGTTTCTATTTTGAAGTTCAAATGAGGGGACAGAAAAGAAAGTGCTTTTGAAATTATAAAGTGATAGCACAGGTTAGTCGTGAAGCTCTTTCCGCTAGGAAGCATGGAACATAGGCAGCAGTCGGCATAGTGGCCCAAGGCATGAGCTTTGGAACCGACAGTCGGTGCTGAGCCAGAAAGTGCCACTGCCTACAGGTGTGGTCTCGGCCAGGCTGACTACACCTTTCCTGCCCCCTCTTTGGGCCTCACTAGGCTAATGTGTAAAATAGAGATAACAGAGGTACCCTCTTTAAAAGGTGATTGTGAGGACTGAGTGAGTTAATGCATGTAAAAAGCTTAAAATTGTGCTCAAAAGAATTAGTAGCTTTCTTGTTGTTGTTGGTATTATTATTACTCTCTGATTCTCAAAGTCAAAGAGAGATCAAGAGATTACCAACACTAATATTTGTTGCATTACAAGCCAAAGGGTGGAGGCAGCTGAGTCTGTAACAGGGCTTTAATAATCAAAGCCTTTAATACAGCTCCTTGGTTTCACAGAAAAGTATGGGACGCTGATGCAATGAAGTTCTGTGCTGTCAGAACTACCAAAGTAACACACATTTTTTCCCCTTTGTTTAAAGGCTGAAAAACTCAAAAGAACACGTTGCAATTTGTTCCACAATGAATAGCTTGTGACATATTCAGTAGGATATTTGGTCCTTAAAATGACACAGTATTGGAAATGATTTTGCAATATGGCAGGGACATTCTGACCTTACGTAAAGGAGTTCCAGCACTGACGTTCCAAAAGACATCGTTATAAAATACCTTTACCTGTTATTAACAACCAAACTGCAGAACCAAAGCAATATGACACAAGCCCTTGGAGCTCTGGTTGCAATTACTTCATCATTTTAAAACTGGCATTGGGATCTTTTTTAAATTAGAGAAAATTCACAATTCCTCATTCATACTCTTTAAAGTCTTTCCCCCCCCCCCAAGAAAAAAATTGGTGTTCCATCTCCAACCCCAACCTTTCCAATCACGGTCAGGACAAGTTGCATGGTTTTTCAGAAATCATTTCGTAAGTTAAAAATTTTAACTTAAAGTTAGCTTTCATAAATTTTGACTAAATTCTTGACCCAATTGTGAAAACACAAATCTCATTTGAAAATCATTTCAAATCCACATTTTAACTTTTAAAAAGAAGCTGGGGTAACTATGACACAGGGGAATGCGCCGATCAGATTGTACTGCTTTCTAATGTTACTTGAGCATTCTTTTTGAATAGAAACTCAGGACACGTTCAATAGTCTTAGATTTTGTTAACAAACAATATGTACTGAGAAGCAATACATCAGCATTAGGAATTTTAAAACTTACAGGTATGTCTGGCCAGTGAGTAGTTGGATCCACCGCTAGTCAAACCAAATCCCTCAGGAATTTGACTAGAGCTTCGAGGTCTGGTCAACAGTTTAGGAGGTTCAATTTCAGCACCAAATTCAGCTCCTATTACTCCTAGTAAAACAATAGCTGTAGCTTGTTTCCGTCTTTCCTCATAAGATGTGGAAATTTTTTTCATTTGTGGGACACTTGACAAGCAACCTGAAAATCAAAACAAAAGGATATAAATTAAAGGAATATCAATACAAAAAGACATATGATTAGAAAAACATTCAAGATTGCTCATTCAGGAAAAGACAGTCTTTTTAAAAAATGGGACAACTGGTTATTCCCATACAAAGGAATGAATCTGGACTTTTATCTCCCACCTTGCAAAAAGTCAACTCAAAATGGATTACAGCCCTAAATGTAAGAGCCAAAATTAAAGAACATGCAGAAGAAAATATAGTAGCATAGCTTCATGATCTTCGGTTAGGCAAAAATTTCTTAGACATGATACCAAAAGCACAAGTAATTTTTAAATATTTTAAATTGGACTTTATCAATATTAAAATATTTGCACTTCAAATGACAGTATCAACAAAATAAAGACAACACACAGACTGAGAGAAAAATTGTCAATCATACATCTAATAAGGGATTGTATCCAGAATGTATCTTACAACTCAATAATAAGAAAACCTTGCCCTGGACGGTTGCTCAGTGGTTAGAGCATAGGCTCGCAGACCGAATAGTCCTGGGTTCGGTTCCTGCTAAGGGCACGTACCTCGGTTGCCATTTGTCCCCAGCCTGGTTGGGGTTGTGGGGTTGGCGACCACTCAATGTGTCTCTCTCACATCAATGTCTCTCTCTCTCTCTCTCTCTCTCTCTCTCTCTCTCTTCCTCCCTTTCTCCCTCCGGCTTTATCTAAATATAAATGCAAAAATGTCCTCAGGTGAGGAGAAAAAATAATAATAATAAAAGAAAAGCCTTCCTTAAAAAAAAAAAAAAAGAAAAGAAAATCTATCTTTCAAAATGGGCAAACAATTTAAATAGCTAATTCTTCAAAGATATACAAATGGCCAATCAGAAAATTGAAAGATGCTCAGCATCACTGGTCATTAGGAAAATGTAAATCAAAACTACAGTGAGATACCACTTCATATCCACTAGGATGGTTGTAACAAAAAGGACAGGCAATAAACAACAGGTGTTGGTGAGGGTGTACAGAAACTGAAACCTTCATGCATGGCAGGTGGGAATGTAAATGACACAACTACTTAAGAAAACAGTCTGGCAGGTCCTCAAAAAGTAAAACACAGAGTTACCATACGCCCCGACAATTCCACTCCTGGGTATCCACCCAAGAGAAATGAAAACAAATGTACACACAAAAGCTTGTACATGGATGTTCACAGTAGCATTATTCACAACAGCCAAGAAGTGAAAACAACTAAAATGTCCTTCATCTGATAAAAAAAAATGTGGTATATCCATCCAATAAAATATTATTCACTAGTAAAGAGTAATGCAGTACTGATATACACTGCAATGTGGATGACCTTGAAAATATTATGCAAAGGAAAAGGTCCTTACACAGAACCAGGTATTGCATGATTCCATTTACATGAAATGTCCAGAATAGGCAAATCTATAGAGACAGAAAGTAGATGAGCAATTGCCTAGAGGTGGGACAGGAGTGAAATAGTTAATGATGGTTAATGAGTCCTAGGTGTTTGAGATGATAAAAATGTTATAAAATTAGATTATGCTTATATCTGCACAACTCCAAATATACTAAGAAATGCTTAATCATGAATTTTATTTTATTAAAAAAAAATTTTTTTTTTTTTTTTGCATTTATCTTCAGATAGAGCAGGAGGGAGAGAGGGAGGAAGAGAGAGACAGAGAAACATCGACATGAAAGGGACACATCGAGTGGTTGCCACCCGCACGACCCAACCAGGGCCAGAGACAAACTGCAACTGAGGTACGTGCCCTTAGCAGGAACCGAACCCAGGTCTCTCTGGTCCGCAAGCTGATGATCTAACCACTGAACAAAACTGGCCAGGGCTTAATTATGAATTTTAAAAGGATGGATTTTATGAAATAAAATATTTGTCTCAATAAATCTATTTTTATAAAAGATTGTTCATTAGTTCATTTATTAATTTGCACACTAATTTAACAAATATTTACTGAGCATCTTCTTTGGGTCAGGGAACTGCAGACATAAAAATAAATAGTCCAGGTTCTCAAGAAGCTCGCTAGTTCATGAAAAAAGGAGAGCCTTTTCACAAAGGAAGAAATGCTGCATTTAGGACTCAAAGGATAAGGAGGAGGCTGCCGGGGACCAAGAGGGATGGGCGGTGAGAGGCCAAGGAGGAGAAATTGTTCAGACGGACCAGGATGCAGAAGGGCAACCAGGCATTTGAAGAGGGTATTAAAACCTGGGTGAAGCTCAACAAAATTTCACATTCAGAAGAAATACCATAATGATACCCAAAACACAATGAAAAATAATTTTAAATCTTTATTGAAGTATCAATAAATAGGAGGTAATTAGAGAAATTACATCCCTAACACATAACACTTCTTAAAATTTATTTTCCCAACCTTTCTCTAAGATATACACCTCATTCACTCTCCCAAAATTCTCCTAAGACTTAGTCCTTTGCTCGATCTTACCCATGCCCTCTACCTTTTTTAAATTTATTTTTGTTTGGTATTTACTATGTGATATCACAAGCAGCCATTAAATTACATAGAGAATAAAGAATATCATGATATACATGTACACAATCAACATTGTAAAATCCTATTTTACTAAAAAGTAATTAACTAATGTGGATATAACAAAAGTCTACTATGGATTGTGTCTTGACTTCACTACCCCGTCCTCATGTCCCAAATATCACCATGATCCTGACCTTATCAAATGTTTTTTAATCTATCTATTGTATAACCATATCAGTGTTACCTGAAATGTGATATATTTTCTGGCCTTGAACTATGCTTGCATTCCTGGGGTAAACTCTGGATAGACTGATGAATGGATGGAAGGATGGAAAGAAGGAAGGATGGATGTTGATTAACAGGGGGTAGACAGGTAGATAAACAGGCCAATACCTAGACTCTGAACTAAATTGCTAATAGAATTTTTACATTTGTGTTCATAGGTGAGATTAGACTATAATTTTCTTTTCGTTGAATTTTTAGAGAGAGAGGAAGGGATAGAGAGAAACATCGATGTGAGAGATACATCAGTTGGTTGCCTCACTAAGGATCGAGCTTGAAAACCGGGCATGTGCCCTGACCGGGAATGGAACCAGGATCTCTCGATCCATGGGTACGATGCTCAATCCACTGAGCCTCACCGGATGGGCTATCATTTTCTTTTCAAATACTATTCTTGTTGAGTCTTAGCGGCAATATAATACAAGCCTCAAGAACTGGGTTAAGTTACTTTCTCTCCCAATTCTTTGAAAACAGTTAAAGGATTCTCGAAGTTCTATGAACATTCTCCTCCGCAACGATCCGGCCTGTGTCTCAGGACATTCCCCTCTGGAGTCAGGCAGGGGCTGGAGGTGTGGCGGAGGAGCAGGGTACAGGAATAGTTTAAATTATAAATTCATTTTTTATAATAGTTACTATTTCATTTTCTATTTCTTCTTGACTCACTTCTGACAACTTACCATTTTAAAATAAATATTTCATCTAAGTTTTTAAATTTATTGGTGTGAAGTTATTTACACTATTCTCTATAATTAAAAAAAATCTCAATTGTACCTTCTCTAATATTATTTTTCATGCCTTTCTTGATCAGTTTTGCTAGAAATATATATATATTTTATCAGATTTTAAAACAGCACTTGGGTTTGTTTTTTTGTTTTTTTTTTATCCTCACCCGAGGATATTTTTCCATTTTTTGTACAGATAGAGTGGGAGGGAGAGAGAGAGAGAGAGAGAGAGAAACATCGACGTGAAGGGACACATCGAGTGGCTGCCACCCGCACGACCAACCAGGGCCGGGGACAAACTGCAACCGAAGTACGTGCCCTTAGCGGGAACCGAACCTGGGTCTCTCCGGACCGCAGGCCGACGCTTTAACCGCTGAGCCAAACTGGCCAGGGCAGCACTTGGGTTTTGATATTATTATTTCATCTCTATTCTCCCTTTTTCTTTGTTTTATTTTTGATTATTAGGTTGAACACAACTCATTTATTTTTATCCTCACCCAAGACATGTGTATGTGTGTGTGTGTTTTACTGATTTTAGAGAGAGCGAAACATCAATGTAAGAGAGAAATATCGATCATTTGCCTCCCGTATGCACCCTGACTGGGGATCAAACCCGAAACCTAAGGATTTGCCCTGATCAGCATTGAATCTGCAACCTTTTCGATACATGGGAAACTGTTCTAACCCACTGAGCCGCCTAGCCAGGGCCACAACTCACTTATTTTCATTCTTTTCTGTTATGGTAAACATTGCCAGTCACACACTTAATATCCATTTTGCTTTCTACTTTACTAACACAGCCTCAATTTTCATCAATAATGTGCTCATCACACCCTTTCAATGTCCCTTCCAGGAGCTAAGGGAGCCACAGCCTAGCTCCTGGCTTTAAGTTTTGTTCATGATATATTTTAGTTCCTCTCCGTCCATAGGAACCAAAAGCTACTTCTGGACAGCAGCTAATGGTTTATGCCCAAATTATTACATTTCTATTCCATTACTTGTCCACAGAGATAGCTCTCTCTCCTGAGCCCAGTCATGCCTCTTCGGTTTTGTATTTGTGTATTTTATCCATCATAGCTATGTATTTGGTATGGAGGGATTTGAAAAGTTCACTGCTGGAGCCATCTTGATTGGAGGTCATCTTTCTGCTCTAATATTAATCCACCCAGCTTGTCCGGCCTGTTTCGGTACGTTGCTCTAAACATTAATTAAGTCAACACAAAAAAGGGCCCTCAGAGTTCAGTATGCCAACCAAGAAATCAGTAGCACGGGCATCTGAATACTTTAAGAGGTTTTACTTTATTTTTCTCCTGTCCTTTTGCATGGTCATTCTACACTGTTGGAGGTGAGGCAGCTGAGTAACAACAGGAGAGGCTACCAGGGCACCAACTACAAGGGCCTTTCTATGGCAAGCCGAAGATTTTTAACCTCTGATTAATGGACAGCCACTGAACAGTCCTGAAAAACGTGGTGACATCAGAT